TGACCCAATTATCTGAACGACCATTTCTCTCAGCCATAATGATAGCCAAGTGTTCATCAATGTACGGTTTGCATCAGTTGTGTACTCTGCAAGACACTGTAATGCACCCGACTCACCTCTTTGTAATCATGGTCGATGAACACTTTTCTACCACTGGTGCCCTTCCCAGCCAGCCTACCCTTGTGACGAGAATTGGGTTTACCAATCTCTTTCTGTACTTTTAGGTACTCTTGACAACACTCGATGACTTCTTCAGTACTGTAACCCTCTATCATAGAGCCCTCTGGATATGCTCGATTATGCACGTATCGACTTAGAACTGACATTAACCGCTCGTAGGACCACATTTCATGCAAGTAGCAAGGGCCCAGCGACTGTATCTGATGAACCATGTGAATCATGAGATGTGGCATTATATCAAAAAAGGCAGGAGGTAAACACATCTCTAGTTGGTTTTGTGTCTCCGCCACAAATTCATGTTGGTCACTCAGCTCTTGCTTGCTAATCATCTTCTGTGAGATCTTCGAAAAGAAGTAGCACATGCGGGTGATGGCCATTTTCAAGAACACTGGCTTTATAGCCCTGATTGCAATGGGTAGAAACACTGTCAACATCATATGACAATCGTGAGCCTTGCAGTGTGTTATTGACAAGTCCTTCATCGACACTAGCTTCTTCACATTCGCTGAAAACTCAGTCAAAACTTTGACCCCCCTTAGGAAAGTGCATATAGCTCTCTTCTCTTCTGGTGTTAGGTTGAAGCATGCCGTAGGTAGAGTATATTTTTCATTAGCCTCAGGTACCGGGTGAAGCTGTGGCATCACGTTTAGCTGCACCATGTCTTTCTATGATTTCAGACCATCCTTTGGCTTGCCTATGTCCATCAAGGTAGCAATGAGACTCTCAAAGACATTCTTCTGCACGTGCATAGCATCAATGGCATGGGGGACCTCCAAGTCTGGCCAATAAGGCAGATATTGAAAGAAGATCGATTGTTTCTTGAAAGGTACGCCTTCGACAGGAGGTGTGCTTCTATCTCTGTTCGTCCCATCTAGATTCTTCTTTCCATAGACGACGCGTATGTTTTTCACCATTCTGTACACGTGTTCTCCGTTATGACGTCTCTCTGGAGGGGGTTCAATCTCTGGGGTGTTGTCATAAAATCTAAAGAACAATTTGCTACGGTACTTGTGACTTGTCTTTAAGAAGCGTCGGTTCCTTAGGTAAACTATCTTCTTGGATGCATCCAGGTACACCCATGTAGTACCATCCAAGCAAACCAAGCATCATGTCTTCCCTTTGAACTGTCCAGACAAAGCAAATAGTGCGAGGTAATCATTGGTAGTAACAAATATTATTGCTCTATATATGAAGTCCTCATTTCGGAACACATCATACATCGGCTCCCCATGCCTCCATAGCCTCTCCATTTCTTGCATCAAAGGCTCGAGGAACACGTCTATATCAATGCCTGGTTGTTTAGGGCCAGAAATAAGAATAGTGAGGAGAAGGTACTTTCTTTTCTAACACAACCACGTTGGGATGTTGTACATGGTCAAGATCACTGGCCAAGTGCTATGTTCACTCATCCTCTCATTGAAGGGATTCATTCCATCGGTGCTCAAGCCAAACCGTATATTCCTTGGGTCATCGCTGAATTCTTTGTGCTTCACATCGAACCTTTGCCACTGACTACAATCAGCCAGGTATGCAATCTTATCACCATCCACCTTGTGCTAATCATCCCACCATGTCATGAGTGCGGCTTCTTTAGGGTTTAGGAAGATACGTCTCAAGCAGTCGGTCACTGGCAGGTACCACATTACCAAGGCGGGAATTCTTCTCTGCTTTGCATCATTGCCTAATGGAGTGTCCTTTAGGGCTGAGATTCTTGTACCATCTTTTTTGTATCCTTCTTATTCCTCTTTTTCCCCGTGGAGCCTTCGTCCCCACCGTAAAGGTCATTGTTCTTGTACCGGCTGGCCCCACACAGGGGACATTTATCCAGTGACTTGAACGTTTTGCCACGAAAAAGTATACAGTGGTTGGGGTATGCATGGATTTTTTCAACCCCCATTGTCAATGGACTTATGACCTTCTTCGCTTGGTATGTGTTGGCGGGAACTAAGTTTGGTTGTGGTAGCACCCATGACAGGAGACGCAATAGCTCATTGAAACTATAGTCTGACCAGCCGTACTTAGCCTTCAGGATGAGTAGCTCAAGCACAAAATGTAGCAATGTCCAATGTGTCAGACAGCCCTTTTCAACACCATACACAGTCTCCTTCGATGCTTTTGTCACCCTTTCTAAATTTTCTAGACCTTTCGGGCTCTTTAGTAAAATCTCTGGTCCAAGGGCTCAAATCATGTCCTCCAAATCATCTTCATCCCCGACACGTGCTCCACCATCATTATTGGCACCACCTTCGTCGTTACCATCCCAACCACTAGCATCACCACCTTGTTCATTGCCAAACTCGGGATCCATTTGTGCATCAAGCTCTGCTGAATATTGAGACAGGGATTCTAGGGTTTTGTCATCGTATTCCTACTCATCCTCGTCGTTAACAATAACCATTTCACCATGATGAATCCACACTGTGTAGTCCTCAACAAATCCTCGCATAATCAAATGTGATCTGATGATAGTCATATCTATCCATGTCATACGGTTCTTGCAATCTTTACAAGGACAAATAATTGTATCCTTATTCTCTGTCAATGTCGTTGCATTCTTCTTTGCGGCTTCAATAAATTTATCCACCTCTTCATGGAAACCTGCCTTGAACCTTAACGAACCATACATCCGAGAGTTTCTATACTCCATCTTTTACAACAACAACAACAAAACAAACATTAAAGGACTACTTATTCATATATATATATATATAAATGAATCAAATTAATAATTACTTGAGAATAATTATATGTACTTCAGATATATATGAATATAAATCAAATATAATTACATGAAGCATACAAACACACCATGGTAGAGGAAAATTAATTAATGACCCATTTATCCATAAATAATTAAAATACATATTTGTTGATTCCAATAAATAATTTCAAAGACAACAATTAGCAATAATTATATTTTACCCAATATCTTTCATGCAAACCCTAGTCCAATTTCATCAAACATAAATTTACAAAAACAAAATTAATAAAAAAACCAAACCCTAGATCTAGATCTACATGCACATGAAACATCCATAAAACTAATTAATTGTTCACTAAAATCAAGAAACATGAACCAAATAAGGGTGTGATCTTGTTCCCCTACCTAATTTACCCTAATACATTCAAAACTTGGGTCTAATTTACTTCATAAGTAGCTCAAGCACCATAGAAGAGAGAGAAAAGCAAAACTCTAATTACTCACTAACCAACCATTAAAACTTCAAAAAAAGTGTGGAATAATATTTTTTTACCTTCTACAACCTCTCCACCAAAGGATTTGAGACCAAAACCTTCCCCCTTAGTAGAGCAATTTTTGGGAGGTGCCCAAGGCCTCCCCACCTTTCTTTCACGGGTTGAACTAAGTGATCCGAGGAGGAAGAAGGTGCTATAGTTTTTTTATATGTGGGTCATTTGTAGGGGCGACTGGTGATTGAGCCGCCCCTACAAATCGCAGGTATTTATACTCGGAGCATTTGTAGGGGCGGCTCAATCACCAGCCGCCCCTACAAATAGCAACACCGGGGGCGGCTGGTGAGTGAGCCGCCCCTACAAATCCGACCCATTTGTAGGGGCGGCTCGTATCACCAGCCGCCCCTACTGTTTCATTTGTAGGGGCGGCTGGTCTCGTGGGTCCCGAGCATGCCACTGTAGGGGTGGCTCCATCACCAGCCGCCCCTACAAAAAAATTATCTCGTTGCTACAAATCGTTTTTCACGTAGTGCTTCCCACCTGATTTTGACCTCCAATTTATTAGCATGGATACTTGCTTCAGCTATATATTATTCTTGCAGTGGTATGATGACGTGCCCATTGGGATAGCATATCATCTTTGATGACTTCATCAATCTCAAAATATATATCGACCTAGTCTTGGGTAATTCATAAGGAAAATGATACTATATTCTAATTACAAAGATTGACTTTGAAGTCATCATTTAATAATGATTTTATCTGTTCAAGACAAAGCAGGGCCATGTATTGTCTTCAATATATTTGCAACAATATTTACCATAGAATCTAAAAAATAACATCTAATGAGCTGTCTCTTATACTCTACTATTCAAATTACATGTTGTTTTTGCATTTCTGTTAATCAAACTTTATAATCTTAGACTATCAATATATAAAAAAAAACATAGATTTACAATAGAGCCAGATATTAATAGGGTTTACTATAAAAAATATTTAAAATACTTAATTACCTTTCTTTGATATTCATGTTCTCATAGAAATTGAGGCCAAAATTTCACTTTTCTAAACCAGGTTGATGTCCTAAATGATGCGTATTTTGAATGGGAGGGCCGGGGGTACTTGTTCTTTCCCTTTTTTTCTATTTTTTGTTCGGTCCAAAGACTAAGCAGGACATGTCTTTGTACGACTTCTACCTGCCATTCAACACTAGACACCCAATAGCAGCAGCTTTAGAGGCTACCAGCCAGTACATGCATGCATGCCTATTGGTAGCCACTACAAAATGAACACTATAATTAAATAAAGGAGAAAGCACTACAAGCTAGCAAAAATGCACAAACTTTCTCCCAGCCAACCACAAGCCTCCTCCATCACTATAAATGGACCCCTTTGTCACCAACAATGCTCCTCGTGCCCACTTCTTCCAACTAATAATCCAAGCAACCAACTAGCTCAACACATCTCTTCTTGTGTTCTCATCTAGCCATCTAAGTAGCAATTGCATCACCAACCATAATAGCGCCTGCTATGCACTAGTCACTAATCACTACACACATAGTTCACACACACACCAAAAGAAAAAAAAAGAGTTTACGTATGTACTTAGGTTAACTGTACATATAGCCATGAAGACTGAAGTAATCACCACCATGATCGCCTTGGTCTTCTTCGTGCATTTCGCTACCACCATCAGCCCTAACACACAACCCTCATGGCTCTTCTCTCTCCTGTCACTCTCCCTGGCTGTGGCGGCGGTCACAGTGCCGTTCATGGTCACCACCACCCGCCATACGCGTAGGATTGTCGGAGCTGCCGCCATCATCCCGGGGCCACGAGGGTGGCCGCTGGTAGGCAGGGCCGGCACTAGGGGAGGGGCGAGGGGTGCGACCGCTGGGGGGGGCAGCCCAGACAGGGGCCCAAACCTAGGTATGCAATCCCCCATAGACCATTAGCTGTAGGCCTCCCGAAGGAGTGACGAGAAGAAGGCCTAAGCAGTACGATGACGAAACGTCCGCGCATCCTTGATCCATCGACTCATCCTCACGTCACTGCTCCTGGCCTGGCCTCGTGTGCTTTGGTGATTCAGTTGCCTCATGCAGTGACAGCATGCGCCGCCCGCGCCAACTACTCGATCGCCGATTCACCATGGCCCCTCGCGATGCAGGCATCAGCCGAGCTGTGCTGGCGTGCAACAAGCGAGCAGGAGCTTGGCATCCTGACCAGCAGCTGGCCATGGCCATCGGGCATCGGCCATCAGATTCAGGGATCAGCACTAGCATGTGACGCCAAGATTCAATTCTCAATCGTCGTGCAGCATGACAGCAACAGCTAGGCATTCAGGACTATCCAGGCAATAGATATGACGGATATGATCAGTTTATAATAGTGTTGTTATCGATCATTATTAAATAGTTTAAACTGAGAATATATTCCCATAAAAATTGAAAATATATCATTATATTTGTTTTTGTTTTGCAAGTGAAATTAGATATACGTGTATATCTATACTAAACAAACATATACATAGTCTTGAGGGCCCATCATAATGAGTTCGCCTTAGGGCCCTTCAAAACTTAGGGCCGGCAGCGCTGCCAGCCATGTCTGGCCCACTCATGCATCGCCGCCTGGCCGCGCTGGCCGATGCGCACGGCGCGCGCCGCCTCATGTCGCTCACCCTTGGCACCACCCATGTGGTGATCAGCAGCCACCCGGACACGGCGCGGGAGATCCTGTCTGGCGCCGCCTTCGTGGACCGCCCGCCCAAGGCCGCGGCACGGGACCTCTCCAACGGGGCGTCGGCATGCTCTCCCCGCACCGCATGGCCGCACTTGAGGGCCTCCGCTGCCGCGTCGCCGATGACATGGTCAGGCGCGTCGCCGACCAGATGGAGAGGTCCGGGGAGGTGGCCATGAGAGCCTTGCTCCAGAGAGCCTCCCTAGAGAGCATGGCGGGCAGCGTGTGGGCCTCGAGGGTGCCGCTGTTAGTGAGGAGCTAGGTGAGATGGTGAGGGAAGGGTATGAGCTCGTGGGCACGTTCAACCTAGGAGACCACTACTACAAGACACCATGGGGCCTGATGGTGGACCTCTGGGGGCTGGGGCCCCTGTGCGGGGGGTTGGCTGCTAGGGTTAGAGGGTATTTTGGGAAGATCATTGAGGAGAGGAGGGTGGCAGGGGACTGCCACGATAGGGACGACCTGCTCAGCTACATGTTTTCATTGCCAGAGGAGGAGAAGTTGGAGGACTCTGATGTGATTGCTGTGCTATGGGTAAGTGGGCTCTATATGTTTTCATCTCATGCGCCTGCGCTTTTGTGGCAAAAAGTGATACACGCTTGTTATATTTGTTGGTGGAATACTTTTGAGTGGTGTAACATGCTTGTTTGATAGGTGCATATCATCAGGGACATACAAATAAAAGCGGTGACAATAAGTGGATGCAAAAATATATATGCATCTTAATTAGGAAATAATACCATGGCCCTTCTATTTTTTATTTGAAAATGAATGATTTATGCTAGGCAAATAAAATCCTTATTTACATTATTTTGTATGCATAATTTTTAGTTTATATATGGAAGTGCAACTCCGTAACCCTAATTTTCTGGAGATAATAAACAATTTCCTAACTATGCCTTTTGTTCTAAAAGTCAAATTGTTTCTCCATGATGGGCATTATGCATGTAAGGTGATGAAAGCGTTTTTATTTATATAAAACTAGATTCCGATCTACTTGCTTTGTCCCAAATTGTAAAATGTTTTCCTTTTTCTAGATATATTTTTTTACCATATATCTAGACATAGTGTATATCTAAGTGTATAGCATATCTGAAAAAAACAACACATCTTACAATATGGAATGAAGGGAGTAGTAGTTAAATCATATGATTTGTTGTGATATAGTGACTGCAAATTTTGGTACATGACGCTTTGATGATCTCATCACCAATAACGTCCCATGTGCACATTCATCCCATTATATCGAACATATATTGTAGATATATAAACCAGAGGCGAACGAACCTGAAGAATAACTTTATTAGCTGAGTTTTGTTTTCACAAGATGTTGCACTGCAGTAGGGTCAATTCCTTTTCGATCTTTAAGGCCTTGTGGCCGCACAATTGTCAATCAAATCGATCCATTTTCAACGACTACATTAGTAGCTTAATGGAAAAACTTATGTCTTCTCCAATTAATATATGCCTGGCTTGTCAGTTGCTTTTAAGAAAAAAAAACTCATCATTATCATCATGAGAAGAGTAACTCATTCAAGTTAAGATTAAAACATGACCTGCTGGATATTAGTGCTGTTAATGTCTATCATGTACACTGCATAATCACTAGTGATCTTTAAAAAAACACTTTTGATGAGTAGTAGTCTGTATGAACTTTTCCTATGTTTTTTTTTTTGCGAATTACACAAGTACAGACGCAGACGCTCAACACGCACGCAACAGTGCTATATAATAATACCATTATATAGGTATTTAATTATTTTTTGTTTCACTATGAGCATGAGAACTAGCTAGTTTAATACGTCCGTCTTGCAAATGCATATGCAGGAGATGATCTTCCGTGGCGTGGACGTCGTGGCGATACTCCTGGAGTGGGCCATGGCCCGCATGTCGCTGCACCCAGACATCCAATCCAAGGCCCACGAGGAGATGGACGCAGCGGTGGGCCTCCGTCGTCCCGTCACCGACTCCGACGTCCCCAACCTTCCCCTCCTCCAATGGATCCTCAAGGAGACGCTCCGGATGCACCCGCCGGGCCCGCTCCTCTCCTGGGCGCGCCTGGCGGTGCAGGACGCGCAGGTGGGCAAGCACGTGGTGCCGGCGGGGACGACGGCCATGGTGAACGTGTGGGCCATCTCGCACGACGAGGCCATCTGGGGAGACCCCTGGGTGTTCCGGTCGGAGAGGTTCGCGTGCTGGGGTCCGACCTCACGCTGGCGCCGTTCGGGTCCGGCCGCAGGGTGTGCCCTGGGCGCATGATGGGCCTCGCCACCGCGCAGCTCTGGCTGGGACGCCTCCTGAAGGAGTACAGGTGGCTGCCACCGCCGGCCAATAAGCCCGTCAAGCTCGCCGAGTGCCTCCGCCTGTCCATGGAGATGAAGAAGCCCCTCGTCTGCCGCGCGGTTCCTCGTCGTCGCGGAGGACCTGCTGCTGCTTGATGGACGACGACTGTGATGATGAGCTCCTTCGGTGCTGTGGCCACTGTTGTCCCAGAAGGGTTTTCAAACTTTCAATTCAGCTGGCAAACTATATAAAGAAGAAGGATTGAAGGAAGATGCACCGGTGTAAATTAACCCTTGTGTTTGCCTACTACTCGTTCAGGGTTGTTTGTATAATCATGATTATTGTATGTATGTGATGTGATGTATCTGTGCCCGGCCTATAGCTAGGTGGCTAGACACGAGTGTAGTTTGCACTACTCTGATATATACTATGTGTACCTGCCTTGTCAGAACGTTTTAGTTTTAATTTGATCACTACATTTTCCCTACTTCCTGCTTCTTGTATATATGTTGCTAAGTGCTCTACTTGTGTTTGGAAAAAATCCTGTTAATTCCTCTTCTTTTTTTATTATATGATGACATCCAGTTATAGGAAAAATCCTGTTTTAAACTCAGCCATCTTTTAGTGATTATGAAGTGTTAGTGATATCCAAGGAAAAGCTAACACACTAGTGATTAGCATATATATGTGTAAAATGGGACAACATGTGGATGTGGTCCTTGCGACCTATTTTTCAAGACAGGGCCTAATTAACTAGGCCTAGTTAGAGGCCAGCTTATTGATCATAAAGTTACTTTTCCTGAAGGCAAGTTTTGCTCAAGGACATCGGAGAAACGTGACATTTTAGTAATATACACCGTCAACTCAGAAATTTGTCTAGTAGCATTATGAATGCGCGTATCCAAGACATATCGATTAATTCATTATGTTCTAATATCTATGGAGAGAGAAGTGGGAGAAATGGCCTTTTTATTGCCATATGTTCTTCATTTTGCTCCCGACAACATCAACCTTCTCTCTATCATAGATCAGTGCACAACAGAGCGACCCCTCCCCTGCACCTCTACCCGCATGGCGGTGCAATCCCTCCTTTGTGCCTCTCCACGCATGGTAGCGTGGCCTCCCTCAGGCTTCTCTCTGCACATAGTGACATGGCCCTTCCATGCCTCTTCCAACACGCGGCGTCGTGCCGATCCTGTGTGACGGAAGGGGGCCGGTGGCCACTTTGTAGATTATATCCTAATGTGGCAGAGTGCCAGAGGCATTGAGGTGGAGATATGAGAGAGACAAAAGTATAGGGAATGACCGAGAGAGAGGGGGGTGGGGGAGAAATGAACTCTAAACCGATGGATGTTGAAGATAAAGACAAAAGGTCATTTTCTCCATCTTTCTCTCTCAATAGGTATGAGAAATTAATAAATTAATCGGTGTGGAGTCTTATAGCAAAGGTACATACTTTCATAATGATACTGAACAAATTTCTAGGTTAGCGGTGTGTATCAGCAAATACCACATTCCTCTGATGTCCCTGAACAAATTTGCCACGTTTTTTGCAATAGAGATTTTCATGATGCATAGATGATCATGCTTAGCAAGGAAACCAATGTGGTTCATTACATGGGCCAGGCCTAATTAAATCCAACACTAATTACCTCATTATCATTGGCATGGATGGAAGTGATTATAAGAAATAATATGTGCTGTTGCAATACACGCACATGTTTATTAGTACTAAAAAAGATACACCATAGCGGAGTTTCTAGAAAAGAACAATAAGTGAATTCACTTATTCACAACATTTTCTTATTTATGCATCAAAACATATGTTGACTTCTCAAATTTTCATTAGGCAAAAGCAAGAAAAGAAGGGAAACCAATACATGAATCGAGGAATTTATTTAATGAGCAAGAAATGGTTCCTAGTTTACAACCCACCATGAGTCAAGACTAAAAAAAAACATAGCAGACCCAAGCAGAAGATAACAATTGTTATTGGGTTGCATTTTCAGACCTCAAACCGTTAACAGGTTGAGCCCACAAGCAAAATAGAACAAAGAATTAGCGGTTGTATTACTCTTTTTTTTTGAAACTGCGGTTGGATCAATTCTGATATCATCAAATGATCAAAAGAAAAGTTGTCTGATAACATAAAAAATTATACGATTATCATTTAGAGATTTCAAAAGGAATAAATGAAGATATTTAGGGTAATATAAAAAGATTCAGCAAAACCCCCTCATTTCTATGAACTCTTTCATCTTGTTTTAAATCTTCTTCAGTTCATCCTGTGAAATACTCAAGTCTTAGCTAGACGATAGCTGAGCTTCAACATCTGAAGATGATACAAACCATATGAGTGGATTTCTAGTTTAAGAATATATTCTTTTGGGATGAGATTTAAGCTAAGAGCAATGTCATATATTCTTGTTATATGAACTAACATTTTTGGTTTTGAGATCTATAAAACTTTGGCTGCAATCAGTCAAAAAAATTCTCGCGAGAAAATTTGTTCACCATGTTGCAGCATATGTACATTTTGCTAGCCATGTGACTGTTTCGTATATATACAGAATATAAATAAAGGGAAAATTGAATAGAGTACCATCAACCCTTGGTTCGGCAATTCGCATTCACCAACATCTTGAATTATTAAACCAATTAAGCGCGTATCCAATGAAACTTTTCGACATTGTTGAATAACCTCTGAATCCATTTTATAGGATTGTATTGCCCATGTCACCACGTGGCAGGATGCATGATTTTTTGAGAGAGAGCTTTCAGTCTTGGGTCAATCCTACATCACGATTCAGGAACGTGCCAAACTGACCAACTCCCCTTGTCAATTGGCACTTTTATGAGAGCCATATTGGAGGCATCATATATAATTAGAAATCTTGGTGGCGAGATCGTAGAATTACCTCTTGCAAAAGTAGAGTGTTTACAGAATTGTGTTTTTCCTCTAATCACATTTTTTATGACTTGCCATATTTGTCTAACATTAGTTGCGGTATACTTATGGCTAGAAACCAAACAACTCAGCATGTTCATTAGAGTTGCACGACACCGTTCCTTGAATTATAGTACAGACATATGTACTCATCTAATTGCGTGCACAACTCATCGCTATGAATTTACACATATGCACCAATGCACCATACTTCTATGAGTACATCTGAAACACTAAGCTTGCTGATTTTGAAATTAATAAAGTCACCGCAGGCGTGTTGTTGAGGTCGATACACACATCGCATACCATCAAAAGAATAGCACTGTTAAATTATAAAATAAACCCAATAAAATGCCACACATACAAATGAAGCGAACCAACGGAGTTACGCTCTATATTTGCAACAAAAACAATAGAGAGTATTTCAAAAATACAAATATAACACAACTATTTTGTGGCACATATTTTTCATATGATTAGACTAGCTAACGATTAGTTAAACGTTATGAAGTTTGAATTTTGAAATGCATGTGCACTTTATATTTTGAAACTGTCGACACGGAATTTCGTCCCATGCCGAGGACACACGAGCAAGCCGGAACGGTCCGCTCGATGGAGCTGGAAATCCGTCTAGCTTCAGCACAGGGGTAGTCGATCCTGCGCACTCCTCCCGAGACGTGCCAGTCAATTTGACCCTATAATTGACAAGGAGAGAAAGTTTATCAGTAATTTAGGGTGAAACGTGCCAGTGTTGCCAGATAGTCCCGAATATGCGGCTCTAAGAGCCGATATAAAAGGAGATCGACTAAATAGTCGATTCTAGCATATTCATAAGAATAAATCAGTTAAATCTCATGAGGTTGTGTAAGGAGAATCGGTTATCATTCAGGATGGATATTATTATTTATACAAATATTAGTCAATGACAAAAAGATGTCAACAATAATTAATTTATGCTAAGCCAATGACTGCAAGTAACCGAACCCTTTTGGTATAAAAGAAACAACTTATCGTCATTTAACCATTTAATAAAGATAAATCTAATGAACACATTAGATCTCATCTATCGCTATGACCAGTGGGGCATGAGACAGAATCATGCAGGCCGTAGAAACAACAATAGACTCGACGACCCTAACTTATTACTAATATCAGTGGGGCATGAGGCAGAATCATGCAGGCCGTAATACAATAATAAGATCATGGGGCTAACACATCTTTCAACCTATCTCTACTTCAACAGTCTCGTGACGTGAACTGTTCGTGAAAGCACTCGATATCGGCTAAAACAACCAATTCAGGCATAACGCACAGTTAAAGTCATACCCTCTCAAGAACAGATCTACCAAGTAACAATCCCCACTTCACGGTGCTAACAGTGGGGTGTGAGGCAGAATCACATAGGCCGTGATAACGGGCCATGAAACGGTTTTCGCTAGCCAATAAATCTACCCAAGATCAAACACGTCTTAACCGCACGCTATGCACGATCAAGATTGATATAAAACAACCGATAAAATATAACTCATCGTTTAAAGTGTAGATTAGATCAGCTTAGATTAACAAACGATGGGTTAAAAAAGATATAAGGCCGATCTAGATCAATCCCAATCGGGCGAAGTGATATTGCTGTAATTAAATAAACAATGAAAGCAATAAGCAATATCGGTAACTTAATGAATCTATCCGAAGGAATGCCACCCTTAGATAGAGCTGATAACTTGACCTTAATCTAATTCGAGCAGTGGAAGTCGACCGGATCGATGCAGCCTTACTTAAACTAGACAACAATCGATAACTAACTTATACCAGAGCCACAGTGAAGGTTGACTGGATCGATGCAGCCGTACGAACAGAGGTATAAGCCATGAGGTTACTTATAGACAAGCAGTGGAGGTCGACCGGATGTATCCGTAGTTGCTGAAGAACTCACCGAGATCTACTCTACTCCTACTCCTAAGGGGTGGCCGAAGCCAAAAAAGTAAGTCACTTGTATTTGATTGATTGTGTCTTTTTTACAATAGCTAGGGTTTGATATTTATACCCGGAGTCTAAAAACGAATCCTACTCGAGTACGACTCAGTACAATCTTTGGTACGAAGAAAACATTCCTATTTTAAGATAACTTGGACTCTAATCTTTTTCCTTTTGTAGAGTCCGATATGTATCTTCTCGATACTAATCATATCTCATCATCATTATCTACTG